AAAAAGTAAAATTTTGTGTAGACAAAATGATAAGGCACCTGAGTGTCTGTTGAAAAACCTTAAAGTGTGTAGGCCTATGTAAGTCTATTCTATAGAAATTAGTTATTAATAGTTAGTTTATAAGTGTTTAAATACTTTTTAAGCTAAAATTAAATTATGGGACGAGGGAAAGTATTAAACTAAGATGAGAAAATTAAAATACTGCAGTTAAAGTCCAATAGAAAAAAATCAAGTACAAATTACAAAGAAACTAAAAAGAAGTCGATGTGTTATTCAAAATTGTTTACAAAAACCTCAAGAATATGGGAAAAAAAAGTCAAAAGAAACATATAATAATAGAAGCTATTCACATTAAATAGCCTTGCGAATAAGCTTATTTGCTTTGTCAGCTTGAATATGTCCATCGCCTACTAAATCTTCTATGCGCTACTAGATGGCTAGGTCTTCTTACATCTAACAGTTTTCTCGAGAGTACTTTTATAACTGTCTTATATTATATATATGAGTATTAAAGTGTTTGTAATCGTACAACTAGCTAGAAGTACATATGCATTCCGAAAGGAGTAAATGATCATGAATCGTAACAAGGTTAGAAAACAAGGTAATGCTTGGAACGACGCCGAGAAGAGTGGCAAAACTTGCTTAACGTCTTCGATGTAGCAAAAATCGTTTCACATTTTTTTTTATCAGAAACTTAAAATTATTTTCATAAAATTTTTTATACTACACGATTTACGATTTATTACAGATATATATTGTGATGTACTTTAATGTACTTTGGATGTAAGTAAGATTGATCTTGTTTTATTAGATAAGTACTCGTTTATAATATATTTTCCTTAATAATATTATGTTAGAATTTATACTTTGTTGATTTCTTTTTCTCAAGTTTTATAGATGGGAAATAGTGACGTTTAATAAATGGGTCCGACTTGTAAAAATAGAAGCTATTCACATTAAATAGCCTTGCGAATAAGCTTATTTGCTTTGTCGGCTTGAATATGTCCATCGCCTACTAAATCTTCTATGCGCTACTAGATGGCTAGGTCTTCTTACATCTAACAGTTTTCTCGAGAGTACTTTTATAATTGTCTTATAATATATATATGAGTATTAAAGTATTTGTAATCGTACAACTAGCTAGAAGTACATATGCATTCCGAAAGGAGTAAATGATCATGAATCGTAACAAGGTTAGAAAACAAGGTAATGCTTGGAACGACGCCGAGAAGAGTGGCAAAACTTGCTTAACGTCTTCGATGTAGCAAAAATCGTTTCACATTTTTTTTTATCAGAAAATTAAAATTATTTTCATAAAATTTTTTATACTATACGATTTACGATTTATTACAGATATATATTGTGATTATTGATCTTGCTTTATTAGATAAGTACACGTTTACAATATATTTTCCTTAATAATATTATGTTAGAATTTATACTTGACTTTGTTGATTTCTTTTTCTCAAGTTTATAGATGGGAGATAGTGACGTTTAATAAATGGATCCGACTTGTAAAAATAGAAATTATTCACATTAAATAGCCTTGCGAATAGGTTTACCTGCTTTGTCGACTTGAATGTATCCATCGTCTAATCTTTTATATTTAAACAAATATATCATAATACGGTCAAGTTGCACAACAATCTCTACAGACCATAATATTTGAACACTTCTAGTTTTCTGATTTCTGGAAAAAAGCACAAACGCGTACGTAAAAAGACAATATCAAAATGACAGTATTTATATTGCTTCTTAGAACCTACTTATAAAATAACAGATAGTGCATTATAGTGTACAAACATCAGTCACTTACATTCCAAAACAAATTATCATCAATTGTCAAACTCGCCGCGAAACTTAATTTTGATTGGTTTAGCCATTATTGAGATCCGATAATTTTGGATGCTCGCATCTCGCCGACTCGCGGTGAAATAAAGTCACACGATAGTGTTCTCCGTTGACTTGACACTTACTGTGTCTCCTGAAAACAGATTACGTTTTAAAACTAAACTTTTGATACAAATTAACTTCTCTCCAATTTTTATACTTATCGTATAAAATTAAATTAAATTATTGTATAAAAGATTATGTAAAAAAATTATATGAATCTCTTAATGTTATCAGTGCTTCTTAATTAATTTTCAATTTCGGTTTTCGACAAATTCACATTTGATGAATTTCATCTCAACTGCTACAATTTATATAATTATATATAATTTGTAATAAATGCGGATATTTTCAAATGCAGTGAAATGAATCATATTTTTCGACGAAGTCAATGTTCTGCTTGAAAGTGTAATGTATGTCATGATCTCTTATCTTCCATTTTCCAAGTATGCTACAATTATGGCGAATTACTTTCAATCATACTTGATTACACTACGGATGTACCAAGTGCAAACCTAACAAGGTTAAAGCAATTTATCACGTGTCACGGAACAATAAGAGTTTTAAGTTTAAGTTTAGTTTAGCAATCTAAATCAATGTGTATTGCGTGGGGTTAAGCTGACTTGACATATGAAGAGTATATAAAGCCGCTTAAGACAGAAGAATTCTCATTTTCTCTCTCGATACTATCCGTTTACATTATGCGGTTATCTTTGACCTTTCTTCTAATCAGTAAGTAGATTTTAATTTTGTAAACAACTTCAATTTCTACGAAAATTATACAGTGATGTTATTTTTCATCTTTTTATAAAAAGATTTTATAAAATTTCCTCATGGCATATATAAAGCAATTATCATAAAATTTGAAATTTCTATGTGTTATTTTTTTTCTTTTTGTGGCTACAATTTATTAAAAATTATAAGAATCTATTTTACTTTTAATAATACTGCGAATATTAATGAAATGAATAATATACTAATAATATATAAATAATAATATAAATATATAATTATAAATTAATACTATACTATACTAATTTGTATAAAATTAAATAATTTTTTTACATAAAAATATACATTCCATTTATTAAAACATAATTGCAAAAAATGATGATTCTTTCTTTTGCTAGTTGGGGCGGTTGTGGCCGACCATCAGAATGGTTGGGAAACCGAAAATGAATATCACTTCCGCGTACAAAGTCGGACTTTAACTGCCTTAAACAAGCTAGCTCAACAGTTTTCTGGGATATTGATAAACGGTGCACTCATCGTTCAAGTGAAATCGCCGGACACATTGCAAGCAATAATTTCTAAGACGCAATATGCTCCCGTGCACCAAGTATTGTCAGAAGGTTGGGACTCTGAGATAACCGATTTGGAATTTCGCGAGCTTTCCTTGTCAGGGAAGTCCTTCGAGATCAAGCTCAAGCATGGAGTGATCCGGGATGTATTGGTCGATCGGGATGTGCCTACTTGGGAGGTGAATTTGTTGAAGAGTATCGTGAGTCAACTGCAGATTGACACACAGGGCGAGAATGTGATAGCGAGTAGAGGTACTCAAGTACCTGATGAGAACCAACCTTTCGGTTCATTTAGAGCCATGGAGGACTCCGTTGGCGGTAAATGCGAGGTTCTCTACGATATAACACCACTGCGTGATGATGTTATCTTCAAGCAGCCAGAGTTAATGCCCTTACCAAATCTCCGCGGGGATGGCTATCATTTCGACATTATAAAGACGAAGAATTATACCCGATGCGAACAGCGAATGGCTTATCATTTTGATATCGCCGGTAAAGCGAATTGGAAACCAGGATCTAATGATGGAGTTCTTTCGGTGAGTTATATAAGAGCTCTTTAATATTTCAATTGTGATAAAATTAAGAATTATTTTAAAAAAATATTCGACAAAATTTACTTCGGATATCGTTATTACGTTTCTATACGTATGCTAATTAAAAAAATGATGCAAACAAAGAATTCATTTTTGCGATCGTATTTTGTTGTACAGAGATCATCCACAAGTCGCATCCTCATCTCGGGCAACTTAAAACGCTTCACTATTCAGTCTTCCGTGACAACGGACAAGATACTTATCACTTCTAAAATTCATGATACGTACTCTGGTGCTGTTTACAGTAAAGTAAACGTAACTTTGGACCATGTACAGAAGATCTCCAATATCATGCCTGCGTCTGACAACTCCGTCTCAACTGGAAACTTAGTGTACATTTATAATAACCCGTTCTCTAACCAGCGCAAACCGCGCCGTCCAAGTATCAGTCGAAGTTCCTTAGCGGCTCGTTCGTCTGAGAGTCGCAGTTCTAACAGTTCCAGCGAGGAAAGCAGCGACGATGATAGCAGCAGCAGCAGCAGCAGCAGCTCTTCAAATAATTCCAACAGCGAGGAGCGTGAGTACTTGCAATCAAAGCCGAAATTAGATGAGGTTCCGGAAAATCCGTTCTTGCCCTACTTCATCGGCTACAAAGGCAAGAGCATTAAAGAATCTCAAGAGAATTACTCTCAGGTGGCGGTCCGTTTGATTGGCCAGATAACTGGAGAAATAGAATATATTGCCGTTGATATACTACATCAGCCATTCACTGAAACGGTGGAGCGATTCACAATTCTGAACAGACTGATCCGCACCATGGATACCAAGCAACTCGCTGAAGTAGAAAATATGTTATCCGACACATTCTATCAGGACGATCGTAACAGATTCTCTAACAAGGATGAAAAAGACGAGTACGATAAAGTCAGCTGGAATGTCTTTTCTAGTGCCGTTGCACATGCCGGAACTGGACCCGCTCTTATCACCATTAGAAATTGGATAACGAATGGGAAACTTAAGGACATGCGAGCTGTACAGGCCATTTCAAAAATTCCCAAAGTCGCGCAAGCACCTACGACGGAATACGTCAAAGCAGTTTTCGTAAGTATTTATGTAAAATAATACGTAAAAGAATGAAAAAAATCTCTAATATTTTTCGTTATCGTTTATATATTTGCACTAGCAATTATGAATTGTACTTACACATCAAGATTAATTTTAATGTTCACATGAGTCAATATCTGCAGGAATTGATCATCGATGAACAGGTGACAAAACAGAAACTTTTAAACACAACTGCACCTTTGGCATTCGCCGAATTAGCCAGCAACGTTTACAACAACAGATCGTCTATCTATCCGATCTACAGTTTCGGCCGTATGGTTCCCAAGCATGATAATGCGCTTCTCGAAACCTATATTCCATATATGGCCACGCAACTGAAAGAAGCCATCAAGGATGGCGACAGTCGTCGAATTCAGACGTACATTATGGCACTGGGTAATTTCGGCCATGCAAAAGTATTCTCTATCTTTGAGCCATATTTAGAAGGAACGTTGCCATTGTCAAAGTACCAACGCATGATGATGGTCATCTCGTTTGGCAAACTAGCCGAAAATTTCCCAAGAGTCACCAGATCTATCGCCTATAAGATCTATATAAATGTGATGGAAACTTATGAGGTGCGTTGCGCAGCTGTTTATATCATAATGAAGACCAATCCACCTCTGGCCATGTTGCAACGAATGGCAGAATTCACTAATCAGGATGCGAGCAAACAAGTAAATGCTGCCGTCAAGAGTAGCATAGAGGCCCTAGCTAATTTGAAGCAACCGGAGTTACAAGATCTAGCCAACAAAGCGCGCATCGCTAAAACACTGTTAAATCCTTGGAATTATAGTTCAGAATACTCTCAGACCGTTATTCAAGAGATGATAGTCGCCTCTTTAAATTTTGCTCAAAGAGAGATTTTTCAGATAATTGGTAGTAACGACGGCAGTTGGTTTAAAAGTGTACTTCTTGGCGAAGATTTATCTTATGGTGGTTTTAATCTACCCCCGACGAAATTAATATATACAATATCGAGTTTGATTGAAGCTATTCAGTCAATGAAGGATACATTTAAACGGGTATGGGGAGAGGACAAAAACGAAGAGAAAGTAGCTATTGAAGAAATGATTGCACAGCTTAATATTAAGCAAGATGATCTGGAACATTTTGAAGGAAGTATTTTGATGAATACCCTATTCAGTTCATTTTTCTATCCCTTCGACAATAATACAATTGAAGAAATAATGAGGGGTAAGTATCCTAAAATTTATTTCAAGAAGTGTTGCTCTGATATATATAAACCATTAATATATATATATATATATATATATATATATATATACTATATAATATTATTATTATTA